ATACCGCATTCTGCCTGCAGTTTGCTGACGAAGAGTCTCTCTGTCTCTAAATTTGTGGTTTTGCTTTGAAGCAAACGAGGGGCCAGCAACTGCAACACAAACCCTAAACCCTAAACCCTAAACCCTAAACCCTAAACCCTAAACCCTAGAAACCCTAAACCCTAGAAACCCTAAACCCTAAACCCTGAAGCTTAAAGTTTAGAGTTTATAGTTTAAATGTGTATAATAGTAAAAAATTATTTTTATAAAGAATCAAGAGTAAACAATACAGAAAAAACAATAAACCCTAAACCCTAAACCCTAAACCCTAAACCCTAAACCCTAAACCCTAGACCTTAGAAATTAAAGTTTAAAGGTGTAATAATGAAACTAAATTATATATAATCAAGGATAAACAATACAGAATAAACAACAAACCCTAAACCCTAAAACGTAAACAAATAAAAACCCTAAACCCTAAACCCTAAACCCTAAACCCTAAACCCTAGACCCTAACCCCTCAAAAGAAAGAGAAAAAAAAACCTTACTCTTTTATAATAAGCCTCAAATATATCTTTATCTTTGAGATATCTAAAAAGAGATAAAAGGCTTTCTAGTGTTTCATCTACAAACCCTAAACCCTAAACCCTAAACCCTAAACCCTAAACCCTAAACCCTAGACCCTAACCCCTCAAAAGAAAGAGAAAGAAAAACCTTACTCTTTTATAATAAGCCTCAAAGATATCTTTATCTTTAAGATATCTAAAAAGAGATAAAAGGCTTTCTAGTGTTTCATCTATTTCTTCTTGGTTTAATCCTTTATTTCCTTTTCTGTAAAAATAATCTAAAAAAGAAGCCAAAAATAAAGAAGAACGGCTGTCGCTACCCCAGAAACCCTCAAACGCCTGCATGCATATATTTACACATTTATTTTATTTTTTATTTTATTTTTATTTTATTTTTTTGTTCGTTTATTTTATTTTATTAATTTATTTTTTTATTTATTTTGTTTGCTGGTTTTTTCATTTGTCTTATTATATTCATATTTATATTTATTTATGTTTATATTTATATTTATAGGTATTTTTATATTTATATTTATTTATAGATTTATATTTATATTTGTATTTTCATACATCTGTGCATGCATGCATTATAATAAATATAATTAAAAATAAAAAAATAATAAAAAAATAAAATAAAATAAAAATAAAATAACAATAAAATAAATAATAATAATAAAACAAAAAGACAATAATAATAAAATAATAATAAAATAAAAATAAAATAAAAATAAGATAAAAATAAAATAAAAATAAAAAAATAATTAAATATATGCATGCATTTTATTTGGGTTTAGGGCAACTGTTATTTAAAGGATAGAAGAAAAAAGAAAAGAGAAAAAACAAAATAAAATAAAATAAAATAAAATAAAATAAAAATAAAATAAAATAAAATAAAATAAAATAAAATAAAA